TTCAGACAAGGCTTAGTTAATAAATGGGTTTTTTTGTTTGTTTGTTTGTTTTTTTTTTTGTTTTAAATTAAGACTTGTGTAACATTTGTTATCATTCTTATTTTTATCATGTTAATGGAGGAAGAAAAAGTAGTATCGGCTTCAAGAATCGGCCAAAAAATATCGGCTGCACGTATCGGCGGATCGGTTAGACTGATGTTTAAAAAAATCGGTATCGGTCTTAAAAAACCTGTATCAGTCGATCTCTAGTAGCAACACACTGTTCACATGCAGACTTTCCCCTTTGACATCACTTCCTGTTAATTCACAGGCAAATATCTCAGCAACTGTTCATCTCAGTGACATGAAATTTCTTTTGCAATATTTTATCAATATCCTCTTTCTAATAACGCATTCATATGTATTACAAAAAATTGACATCACAGGCACTTTAATCGTATTAATCGGCAAGTGCCAAAAAAAATCGATCAATGTCTTTCTGATGATTAATTACACACGAAACGATTATGTCCAACCCTATAACTCAGCTGATTTTACAGATCTTGTGCTGAAGTTTGGTGAGGTGGTAGGAGCTGAACACAAACTTCGCGAGCCGCACATTGTGTGATTTTACTGAGCCGTTGCATCAACCCTGAGCTGAAGTTTATTCACAGCTCATACTGAGTGCGAAAGCTCACTGTGTCACATGAGACCACACCTCTCAAGGCTTGAACTCCATCGTTCGATGAACCTGGTCTTAAACTCTAGAATGAAAACCCTTCAAGGCCTTCAACTTTATGTTCGGTATTCAACGTCACTTTAACAAAACTAGAGAGTTCATCACTTTTACTTGCCAGAAATTTACTGTCCAGACAAAATAAAAACCTTCCAGCAGCAGAGGTTCGTTCACGATTAGCTAGGAAGCTGTTAGTTAAAAACATTTTTTGATTCTTTCAGTTCTAAACTTTACAGCCACGTCTGCAACACAACGTGCATCACCAAACTCAAATAACCCACAGAACCTCAGCTGTTTAGAGTTAGGATCTGACATCAGAGGTGCAAAATAACCGCAGCACTTTAATTCATGCAAATATGACCTTCTAATGGACACAGCGTCAGCGCCGACAGAAATACACCACCGGACCTGCAGCAGAGGAAGTGATGCACAGAACACAAAGCAATTGCAGAAGTTTTTTTTTGAACTTCTCCTTTTCTTTCTGTTGTAGTAATCCAACAAGTTTTGTGACATCTGGGAATTTAAACTGGGCAATAGATTTTTTTTATTACTTCCCTGGGATATTAAAAAGCATTTTAATACGGTCAGTTTGTCAAAGACTGGTAATATTCCTGAGGTTAAATGACTGAAATAACGTTTCAGATGTCTAATTGTCCATTTTCCGCAACAGCTGCCCCACACACAGCTGGGGTTTCACATTTGAAATAGTGCATAATGAGCCAAAATGGCACCAATGTGAACAAGAATCAAACCGAGACGTCACAAACCACTCTGCACACGAGACAAAACTGAGGCTGAATGTTTATCTTCGGTCACATCTGTCAACGTTTGATCAGGACATTCAGTTTAAAGCAGACAAATGCCTCAGACTCATTTGCACTCTCAATCAAAGAATTGAATAAAACTGAAACCTTTCAAGTGTGTACAGGTAAAAGGATAAAAAACAAATAAAATGATTGAGCTTTTTTTTTTTTGCCACAGAACCAACCAAACAAACAAACTGAAATTGTGTAAAGGTGATAAAACTCCTGAAACCTTCCGTTTAACCTCTCAGCTGCCTGACTCGTCACATGCTTCGATCCTGAACTTTCATCTCTGCAACAACAAACGTTACTGAGCAACAAACGTCAGTCATGCATCTTTACGGGGTTTTAATGAGACTCAAAGGCTCAGGCTTGTTAAACGGTCGTGAATGTCAACATTTTTCATTTTCGTAAAATTTTTCCAGTTAGGGGACTTCAAATTTATTTAAAACACCAAACTTTAAAGTGTCTGTAACATCACATTTCTGTAACATGTATGAATTGGAAACGGTCGTGAATGTCAACATTTTTCATTTTCGTAAAATTTTTCCAGTTAGGGGACTTCAAATTTATTTAAAACACCAAACTTTAAAGTGTCTG